GGACTCGCAGTGTTGGCGTCAGAGACAGACTTTATTACTTGTGGCAATCGGTGATCACGTGGGCTTGAATATGAACCCTTTTTATCTTCGTGCCAGCGTCTATGCCGACCGCCTCAGGGAACGGGAGGAAGCGGAGGACACAGACGGAACACTTCGACACGCAACATTGGCATCTGCTTCGAGATATGCTTGGTGGGATGGCGCAGTACGAGGCAACAGATCTTTGTGTGGGGCGCACCCGCACAATACAGATTGTTACGGATAGCCAAATATTGGCGGATATTCTTGCTGACAGGGCGAAGCATGAAGAGCACGCCCACGCCCTCACAGAGGACATCTCGACGAACATGGCGGACACTTTATTAACTACGAATGGGGGGGGCAAGATATACAACAGGCGACCCAGTCATATGGAGACGGAGGGTTTTCAACAAAGAAGCTGATTATTAGCGAAGTGGGCAATGGACGCGGAGGACGATTTCTGGCGTTATAGTGGTATCAAGATTACGGCCGATTCGGATCTCATATTGTTGGGGTGGAGCGATGGGGGATGTCGCAACGAACAACATGCATCTTCAGACGCTCGGATTCTCAAAGGCCAGCGCGCTGATTCCTCAATTGTGATCGGCGCGGCATGCGCCAAATATTATCCAGAGAAGGCCCGGAACAGCTTAGAAGTCGAATGTTTAGCTATGCGGATGCTGTTCGTGACTTTATCGCCGGTGGAGTGCCGGCTTGCATTCGCAGTATGCCCCACACAATGCGCAAACGACGGAGATGTTTCTGGCAATCCGCCATGTGCCACGTAGCTGATTATATCCCTGGGTATCACCGGCGAGACGTATGAGCTCAAAGCCGCGGCGGAATGAAAGGAACAGGAGTGATGATGATGATGATGATGATGATGATGATGATGACGATGACGATGATGATGATGATGATGATGATGATGATGATGATGATGATGATGATGATGCTGATGATGATCATGATCATGATCATGATCATGATCATGATCATGATAATTATGATGATCATGATGATCATGATGGTGGCGATGATAGAATGATGAGGATGATTATGGTGATCATTTGCATCATGCCCATGTGGGGGCCAGCGCCAGGGGGGGGGGCCGGCACCAGGGGGGGGCCGGCATTGGGCGAGTGCTGGCATCGGGGGGGGGGGTCGACACCGGGAAGGGTGCCAGCACCGGGGGGGCCGGCACTGGGGGGGGGGCCGGCACCAGGTGGGGTGGCGCGGCACCGCGGGAGGGGGCTGGCACCGGAGGGGGTGCCGCCACAAGGGGGATGCTGCTGGCACCGGTCCTCTGATGCCAGCCCCAGGGAAGGGGTCCAGCGTTGGGAGGGGGGGGTGCGGCCTCTGGTGCCGGCCCTGGGGAAGGGGTCTGGGTTGGGGGGGAGCCGGAGGGAGGGAGCCCCTCCGAAGTAGAACAAGGAGAAAGGGGGGGGGGGGAAATTGAGAGGGGGGGAGGCCTGCAGAGCGAAGAGAGGGAGGGAGGGGAGAGAAGGAGGGAGGAGGAGGAGGCTGCAAAGCGAAGAGAGTGGGCGATGCTTGCCCCCTCTCCCTTCTTGCGAGATCGCTCAAGCTTCGCTCTGCAGCGGGGGAGGGGGAGGAAGGGAAGTGAGGGGGGGAAAGGGGAGGGGAGGGAGGGAGGAGGGCCTCCCCGAAGTGGAATGGGGAGAGGAAGGGGGGGGGAAGACGGGAATGATTAAGAGGGGGGGCGGGAGGGGGGGGAAGAGAACCCCGCCCCCCCCTCCCGGGGGGAGCGGGAGGGGAGGTTGAAGAGACCCCCCCCCTTTTGCGTTCAATGAAAAGCCCACGCTCTCAGAAACTCACGCCGGGTCGGCGGATTTACCACTATCGTCAAGCGCAAGGAAGTCTCAGGCGGAAGCCCTTGACCGCCATACCGACAAGCCCGGTGGTGCGACGAAGAGGAATTGGCTATGACGAGGAGTAATGAACCAGAAGCAGGAGGCAGGAGGAGGACGACGACGACAAGGAGGATGATGCGCTCATTGAGTGAAAGCGGGCAAATGCGAAAAGAGGAGCAAGAAGGAAAGAGGGAGGAGTAGGAGGAGGGCCAAGCAGGAGGGAAGAAAAGGAGGAGGAGGAGGAGGAGGAGCAGCAGCAGCAGCAAGGATAGGCGGAGCGAGGAGGAGGAATCACGCCGTCCCCGCGGCTCGGTCCTCCCCGACCAGGGTGCCCGCAGCGGTCGCCCGGGAGTCCCAAAGCGGCACGCCGCCAGACCTCCGAGAAGGCTTACAGTGGAGGTCCATGCCAAGAAACACCCTGCTTGCCTCCAAGGTGCCCTGGGTTTCTCGGGTTTCGATGGTTTTGCTGTGGCAAGGGTGACGTCCCCACGCCAAAAATCAAGGGACGTCCTGGGGTCTCAGGGTTGCGTTTCTTGTGGAAGGTTTCTTGTGGACTGGCCTCCACTGTATCTCTCTCCGGCCGCGTGGTCGGCCTCTCCCTGGGTCGGGCCAGGCAAAAGGGCAGGATGGAGAAAAGGGGGGGGTACAGTCGGTGCGCCTCGCCGAGAGCGTGCTGGGGTTGCCAGGATCGCCCCGAACGGCCGCCAGAGACCCAAGTTTTGACAGAAAAACCAAATTCGGCGGCGGGCCGAGATCGAGGTCGGTTCGGCGAGGGTACCCTAATCTTCGTCATGCTTGTGGTATGTTCTCGTGCATCCTGGGGAGGGTACCCTTCGATGTTCTGCTTGTTTTGGCCGGCGGAGGGTCTCCATGTTCTTGAGGGATTCCGGGGTGGATAGACCTCCTACCCTGACACGTCGATTAGTGAGTTGGCCGTTTTCAGTTCGCGAGAGGGCTTCGCGGCCGTCATTTTTGCGGGTCCGGGTCCGTCGGTTTCGATCCCAGGCCGTTTTCACTAAGGGGAGGTCTACTAAAGGGAGGTTTGTCCAACGCCGAGGGATGTTATTCTGGCCTAGGTCCGAGTGTACGAAACTTGCTGCATGCATCCGGTTTCCGCCTTGCCGCAGGGCCCGGTCCTCCATACGTGGGCGCCTCCAGGCGACAGGAGGCGCCGCGAAGACCAGCTGCTCGAGCGGATTCTCTACCCCTGCCCTTTGCTATCGTACCCTTCCGCCCCCCTCCTCCTCCTCCTCCTCCTCCTCCTCCTCCTCCTCCTCCTCCTCCTCCCTCTCCTCCTCCTCCTCCTCCTCCTCCGCCTCCTCCTCCTCCTCCTCCCTCCTCCTCCTCTCCTCCTCCTCCTCCTCCCCCTCCCCCTCCTCCTCCTCCTGCTCCTCCTTCTCCTCCTCCTCCTCCTCCTCTCCTCCTCTCCTCCTCCTCCTCCCCTCCTCCTCCGCCTCCTCCTCCTCCTCCTCCTCCTCCTCCTCCTCCTCCTCCTCCTCCTCCTCCTCCTCCTCCTCCTCCTCCTCCTCCCCTCCTCCCCCTCCCCTCCTCCTCCTCCTGCTCCTCCTCTCCTCCTCCTCCTCCTCCTCTCCTCTCCCCCTCCTCCTCCCCTCCTCCTCCTCCTCCTCCTCCTCCTCCATCCTCCTCCTCCTTCTCCTCCTGTTCCTCCTCCTCCTCCTCCTCCTCCACCTACCCCTCCTCCCCCTCCTCGATCCTCCTCCGCCTCCTCCCTTTCTCGACCCTCCTCAACCCTCCTCCTTGATCCTCCTCGAACATCCCTCCTCCACGTCGATCATCCTCGATCCTGATCGATATTCCTCGATCCTCCTCCTCGCCCCCCTCCTCCCCTCCTACTCCTCCCCCTCCTCCTCCTCCTCCTCCTCCCCTCCTCCTCCTCCTCCTCCTCCTCCTCCTCCTCCTCCTCCTCCTCCTCCTCCTCCTCCTCCTCCTTCCCCCCGACGGGCCCCCCCTGTTTTTCCCCCCAGCTGGGGAGGGGAGGCCCTAAGGCTGAGGCTCGAAGGCCTCAGGCCACCCCGCCTGAGAGATGTCCACGCGCGCTGCCCCTCGACCGCGCCGGTGTCCCTAGGGGCTACAGTGGGGGCCCCTGCCAAAAAGCACCCCGCTACCTCCAGAGTGCCCTGGGTCTCTCGGGTTTCGATGGTCTTGCCACCGAAAGCGTGACATTCCCACGCCAGAGATCGGTGGACGTCCTGGGGTCTCAGGGTTGGGTTTCTTGTGGAAGGTCTCCTGTGGGCTGGCCTCCACTGCAGCGCGTCGGCTTCTCGTCGCAGGGGGGACTGGCTCTGCGGCGAGCGTGAAGTCGGGCGTGTCCCTCTACAGGAGGAATATTCAAAAAATAGACAAAGAAATAGTAACGGGAAGACTTTTCGACTAGTGTTTGACCATTCTGGAATGTTTGTTTGTTGACTACGTTTACGTTCGTCCAAAATCCGCCTGTAGGGGGACATGCCCGACCTAAGGCAAGCGAGGGGGGAAGTGAGAAGGAGAAGGCCTTCTCAGGAGGCGGCGGGGCTTCTCAGCAGCCCTCGCGCCTTCTGAGAAGTTTTCTGTGCCTTCGGGGAATCGGCGGCAAGCGAGCGAGGGGGAAGTGAGAAGGAAAAGGCCTTTATCAGGAGGCGGCGGGGCTTCTCAGAAGCCCTCGCGCCTTCTGCGAAGTGTGCTGTGTCTCCGGGGGTGGGGCTTAGGGTAGACGCTTCTCAGAAGGCTGAGGGACCGAGCCTTCTGAGAAGGCCCGCCCCTTCTCGCTTCCTCCCTAGGCGCGCCGCCGACTGGCGATTGATGGGCAGGCCCCTGCTTCTCTCAACGGGAAGAGATGTAAATTCTCGGCGGAAGTCGGCGCGGATTTCTCGGATCGGCGCCTCCGGCGCCGCCCCGGGCGCGCTCCGTGCGTCAGGGAGGGATACCCTGCACCGACCCAGGAAAGCCGCGCGGAGCTCCGAAAGTTTATGGTTGTGCAGTGTTCTTGGCATCGCTCGGACGTGTGCATTCTCTCGGCGGGGATCATTTTTCCTCAGGGGGGGGAGGGGCAAAAGTCGAAGAAGCGAGAACGGCATAAACATACAAACTGTCGGAGTTCTGCGCGCAATAGGGAGGGGACCCACTGCCGATTCAAGAAATCCGCGCGAACCTCCGAAAGTTTGTGCGTATGCCGTGTGTTGCTCCTCCTTTCGCATGGCATCGCTCGGACGTGTGCATTTTCTCTCGGCATGGATCATTGAGGAGCATCCTGGATCGCCCTGCGAAACAACATGCGATGGCAGGGGCTGGCGGTTGGTGTGCAGGGGTCTGCGCTCGTGCTTGCCGCTGGCCCCGCAGGTCGCGAACAGCCAGGGGCTGCCCATCTCCCCCGACCCGGCGCCCTCCTGGCTGACGAAGGCCGACGACCTGGTCGTGGACCTGCCAAAGAGCACCACCGGCGGCAGGAAGATGCTCCTGGCCCAGACGGTGCTGATGAACAAGAACAACGTCTGGGGGGACGCCTCTGCCGGCGACAGGTCGAGGGAGGAACAAGCGTCGTGAACAGATGTCTTCGGAGGTCCGCGCGGACCTCCGAAAGTGTGTGTGTGTGTTTATGTTGATGACTCTTTCTCCGAAAGGGTCACCCGCCCGCGGTGGCTGCGGGCGTGCTTGGCGTCGAACAGGGTCCACACGGCCACCCACGGGCACGCCCACATCCTGCGCACGCGGGAGACGCTGGAGATCCCCCAGCGCGAGCAGGCGAAGTGTGCGAAGAAGAGCGACGAGGCTTAAGTCGGGCATGTCCCTCTACAGGGGGAATATTCAAAAAAATGTGTGTTTGAAGAAGTCTTGGGACGATTTGTTGACTACGGTTCACTACGTGCGAATCTGTTTTGATTACATGTATGTTTCGTCCATGGTACCGGAGAAAATCAATCAAAGTCTAGGGCGATGGGGCTATAGGGCTATAGAACTATAGAGCTATCGGGCCATAGGTCTATAGGGCTATAGGGCTATAGGGCTATAGGCTATAGGGCCATAGGGCTGTAGGGCGGTAAGGGCTAAAAGGCTATAAATCTATAGGGCCGTAGGGCTCTTGGGCTATAGGGCTATGGGGCTATAGGGCTACAGAACCATAGGGATATGGAGCTACAGGGATACAGAGCTACGGGTTATAGGGCTATAGGGATACAGGGCTATAGGGCTATGGCGCTAAAGGGAAGGCTATAGGGCTATCGGGCTATTAGGCTATAGGGATATGGGACTGTTAGGTTGTTGAGCTATTGGGCCATAGGGCTATAGGGCTACAGGGATATAGGGCTATAGAGCTATAGGGCTATAGAGCTATAGGGCTCTAGGGCGATAGGGCCAAAAGGCTATAAGGCTACAGGGCTATTGGGCTATAAGGCTATAGGGCTATGGGCTATAGGACTATAAGGCACCCGGGAGCCTGGGCGGGCCGCGGAAATCGATGGCAAACCTCACTTACCATATGCATCCGCTAGGACCCCTACAGAGGCAAGCTCTGATTGGGGAAAAGTCCTCTTGTAGGAGGACATGCCCGACCTAAGACGAGGCCAAGTGCCTGCGCAGCGCCGCGCACGAGACTTTCAACTGGGAGAAGCACCGGATGATGCTCGAGTACCTTGGCAGCCCCGAGAATTTCTCGCACGTCATGGTGCTCGACGCCGACGCCGCCCTGGTGCACCACGCGCACGACACCATTAGGGGAACGAACAATGACGTAAACATAAAAACTCTGAGGTCCGCGCGGATTTCTCGGATCCGCGCGGACCTCGAAGTTGTTTATGTTTATGCCATTTTTCGGTTCCCGAACCATGTCCATCATGGCTGCGGAGCTGGCTGCCGCTGGCAAGGACTTCCTCCTCACGAACGAAGACTGGATGGGCCCTGGCGCCGGGGCGAGCCGCATCAACGGCGGAATGCTCTTCGCGGCCAACACACCCTTCACCAAGGCCCTATTCGAGGACATGCTGGACGCACACCTCCTCGAGGAGGGCAACCAGCAGCCCCGGCTCGGGGGTGCGCTGTTGAAGTGCCACAGCAACGAGCAGCTCTGCCTCAACGCGCTGCAGAAGCGCCCCGCGTTCGCCTCGAGGACGGTGGCTCCACCTTGTCCCCGCATCAACGCTGAACCCCTCAACAGAATCGTATCGGAAAGAGTATCGAGCCATGCCCCATGATGCAGAACTGTTCTCGATGTGTAGCGAAAGAGGAAGCGGCACCAGCACCAACATCCGGCGCTCCGCACGGAGTTCTTGGATCTTCGCTGGACGCTCTTGGCGGCGACTCTGGCGTTGTCCCCTGTGCGCTCCGCGCGGCAGAGAGGGCGGTACAGCGCAGATCCAAGAAACCCGCACGGAGATTCAAAGGTTATGCGTAGGAAGTTGTTTTGTTTCTCTCGTTACGCAGACTTGGAGGGTGGTACAGCGCAGATCCAAGAAACCCGTACGGACATTCGAAGTTGATATTTACGAAGTTTTTGATGCGATGTTGCACGGTGTCGGCGCTGAGGGGGCCAACGCAAGCCCGCCGACCAGGACGCTCCTCACGAGCGGCATCCGGTTCAACCGAGGCGGCTGCGTGCTCACGAGGTGCGGCAACGGCAAGGGAGACCCCGACCTGCAGATGAAGAGCGCAGGCCTGAGAGACCCGACGCTGGAGATCATGCATTTCGTCGGCAACAGCAAGTACGTGGCGCCGAGGGCGATGTGCGAGGAGGGCCACGACCTCACCGGCGGGGGCCCAGACGGCTACGGGTGCGCGGAGTGAGTCGGCGGCGCTCCTCCACGATTGCCCTGCCCCTCTGCAGCCCTCCTTCCTTCCCCTCATGCCCCTCCCTCCCCTCAGTACCGAACCGACCCCCATCCCCACCAGGCCATGGTACCTCAGCCCCACCATCCCACCACCCCCGGTCTGGCATGGCATGGGTCCTTCGAAACCCGAAGGGAACAGCTTAGATCCCCGTGTAGGTGGGTAAATCGGCCAGAGGGTGCCGAGGCCGTGCCAATGGGGATGGGGATGGGTTTAACAAAGCTCATCCTCTCCCGCGCCCCCTCGCCTTCCCATGTGATCCTGGCGTCGCATTTGTTTCACCACGGGCAAGTTTGCCTTGTCTCGGGCCTCGGGACCCTTACAGATCGACCTCGCTCGAAGAATGGCCCAGGAAGGTGTGGTCCAGGGCTCTGGTCGTGATTTGTCGCGCCGGCGCGTTCTGTGGGGCGCAGGGTCGGAGCTCAGGGTCTCGCCTCCCGCCTGCAACCTTGCGTCCCCATCCTCCTCCTCCTCCTCCTCCTCCTCCTCCTCCTCCTCCTCCTCCTCCAACTCCCTCCTATCCTCCTCCTCCTCCTCCTCCTCCTCCTCCTCCTCCTCCTCCTCCTCCTCCTCCTCCTCCTCCTCCTCCTCCTCCTCCTCCTCCTCCTCCTCCTCCGCGCGCTCTACAGTCCAAGGGCGTGTCCCAGGACGCTGGCTGGTGCGCACACGCCGCCCAGGTCTCGTCCGTCGGCGCTCCTTGGCCTCCAGGGGCGCACGCATCAACCGCCGCCAGGCTGGCGCCTACAGTCTACCTCAACTCCCCCTCGCATTTTCCCTCCCTCTCTCCATCTCGCCTCCTCCCTCCCTCTCTCCTCCTACAGCTTCCCTCCTCCATCCCTCTCGCTCTCTCACTTTGATTACACATCGCATCCCCGTTCCGAAAGAGTTATTCACCTGGACAATATCAGGCATGCCCGACTAAAGCAGTGAGATATCGCCCAGGAGAGATGGTGTTGTTGTGAATTCATGCGGGTTCGAATACATTCAGAACACTTTGAAAGCGACTAGGAGCGACTCTCCCCTGCGAAATGACAGGGGGAAAGATTCCCCCATCAGTGCTCGCACTGAAGGGGTCCTAGCGGAGATTGAAGGATCTGGCAGAGGTTCCGGGCCGATTTCGGTAGGCGGCGGGGTCCTCTGTTCCAGGTTCCCGTGTCCCCGGTTCCGGGCTCCGGGCCGATTTCGGTGGGCTGCGGGGGTCCCGGGTGTTTGGTCGATCGTTTTTATCAATCGGTCTGACTATCGATCTCATTGCCCACCTCTCTATATCGATCTCCCGATCGATCTCACAAGCGATTTCATTGCAGATCGCACGAGCGATTTCGCGATCGATCCTTGCATCGAGCTCATTAAATCAATTTCATTATTGGTCTCACGATCGACCTGACACTCGTCCTCACTATCGATTTCACTATCGAACTCACAATCGATTTCAATATTCATATTATTACTTTTCACACCATCCACTGGTTGGGGTGTTTCTCTGATGTGATTTGATGCTGCTGTCTGCTGCAAGTTCCGCCACCGTGCCAGCTCTGCGCCAGGGAGCACGGCGGTCCTAACGTGTGACATGTTGTATCTCTGGTCACCCTGGTCTTCTGAGAGCCGTGGCACGTGCGGCACTTTTCGTAATGCCGTCTAGGGAGTTCTGGGAACAAGGTGGTTGACGCCGTCACGTGTGACACCTCGGCTGCCTTGGGATTTGATGCGCTTTCGAAGTCAGCGAGCTCGTCAGGGGCGATGGTGATGACGATAATGGTGATGGTCATCATGATCAGGGTGATCATGATGATCGGTATGATCATGATGATCATGATCACGATGAGGGTGAGGATGATGGTGATGATGATGTCGATGACTGTGGCAGTGTTGATGCTGATGATGATGGTGGTGATGATAATGATGTTGACGACTACGACGATGACGAAGATGATGACGATGATGATGGTGATGGGGATGACGATCACAGTGATAGGGATGATGGTAACGACGATGATGATGATGATGATGATGATGATGATGGTGATGATGATGATGGTGATGATGCTGATGATGGTGTTGCTGATCATGCTGATGATTATGATGATGGTGGTGATAATGATGATGATGATGATGATGATGATGATGATGATGGTGATGATGATGATGATGATGATGACCTAGATGATGATGCTGATGATGATCATGGTGATGTTATTGATGATGATGATGATGATGGTGGTGGTGGTGGTGGCCATGATGATGGTGGTCATGATGGTGACGGTGGTGATAACGATGATGATGCGGGTGATGATGATGATGATGATGATGATGATAGTGATGATGATGAGGAGGAGGAACAGTATGATGACGATGGCAATGATGGCATGGCTAAGGAGGATGGCGAGGAGAAAGAGGAGGATGAGGAGGAGCGCCGTCACACGTGGCACCTGTTAGTCTTCATTTTCAGGGGAGCCTTAATAGACTTGATGTGGGTAGTTTTGGGGCCTCTGTTGTGCCTCTCGAGTACCGTTTTAAGGCTTCGAGGGGCTATGTTTAAGCCTCTTGGGGCCTCCTCGGGTGCCGCCTCGGGGGCCTCATGGGGCGGAAGGCTCGGATTGTCGCTGTAAGTCTTGGAGCGTCGGAGGCTCGAAACGGCGAGAACCCAAACGAACATTAGACCACCGCCTGAACATCAAACATTATTGACTCTCGGGGCCCTCGGGCGCCTCTGCTGGGCCTCCTGGGGCGGAAGGCTCGAATCGTCGGTTCGTGTTCCCCCTCTTGGGACCTTCTTGCGGCTGTCTTGTTGCCTTCTTAGGTTGTCTTGGGCACTGCCTGGGCTTCTCCTAGCCCTCTTTGGCCATCTTGTAACTCTCTTCGGGCAGTCTTGGGGGCCGAAAAGCGTCGGAAGCTCGAAAAGGCGAGAACCCCCAGATTGCATTAAAGACTTGTAGGAGCATCGCGTCATGTTCGCTCGGTGGCCGTCCCTGTCGGTGGGTTGATGCGCTGAGAGAAGAGACCCTAGGAAAATCAATGATTGTTGCCTCTCGGGCCCCTCGTTGGCCCCCTTGGGGCCTCTCGTTGGCCCCCTTGGAGCCTCCTGGGATCTTTGGGGGCGGAAGGCTCGGATTATCGGTTCGTGTTCCCACTCGGGGGCCATCCTTGGGACCGTCTCGGGGCCTTCTCGGGCAGTCTTGAACGCCTCTGTGGCCGTCTTGGAGCCTTGTGGGGCCGTTGTGGGGCCGAAATTCGACGCTGGTTGCCTCTCGAGGCTCTCTTGGGAAGGCTCTTGGCTCTTGGGGCTTTCTTGCGACGCTTCGAAGGCTTCGTGGGCCGTGTTGAAGCCATATCAGGCAGTCTTGAGGCCAGAGTGGCGCTTCCTCGAGCCACATCGGGCCGTCCTGGAGGCATCTGCGTCTCGGCACTTAGCGCGAACATGTTGCATCTTGAGAAGAACTGCAGCCCCAGGATGAGGGGGACTGCGCATGCCGTTGCGTGCGGGGAGAGGGGTGGTGGTGGCCCTCAGAAAGAGCATTACGGTCACCCTACAAGACAGCACTTGGCATTCTGGCACGGCCCAGTGTGCCAGGGTGCACGGCGGCGGCCCCAGGGCTTTGAAAAGCTCTCCGGCCTGTCCAGGCCGAAGGGGGCGTGCTAGGAGCCTGCGGACGGGGGGGGGCCCGCTCGGCGTCGCCGCAGTCGTCGCTGCCCAAGAGGACGAACTTCCAGAACGGGCCAGCGGGAACGGGAGCGCACTTGCTCGACGGTGGGACCAGCGTTCCCCTTGACAGCAACACCTCTGGTCGCCGCCACGCGCGCGCACGTGCCACGCAGACCGTTTGCTTCCAGTTCTTAAAAAGGCAAACGGTCGGGCAAACGATCGGGCCGCCCCAGGCGAGGTCCGAGCGCGGGACAGCTTTTCTCATCCAGTGACAACAACGGCTCAATGATGGCAATGATGTTGGCGATGTTGCCGCGAAATAGTATGTTGGCGCCCCGTTCGGACGTCGAGCCCATGGTTTCGCATTCCCTTTTTCCGAACGTTATATCTTGATTGCTTCCGGGGGAACATCGGGTGTTGTGAGTTCATGCGAGGAAATCTTCCGAAAGGGTTCGAACGTGGCCGGACATGGTGCCCCTTGAGAATAGCAGCGGGAGGCTTTATTTTGAGCGAAGATATGAAATTAGTGGTTAGCGAGGGAGAAGTCCGGAATGTTTTCCCGCCCGCCCATGCCGAAGGGAATCACGATAGGAGCCGACGGGGGGGAGGGGGGCCCGCTTGGCGCCACCGCCGTCGTCACTGATGAATAATAATTTCTGCACAGGGTAAGCCTGAAGATGGGTGAGACCAGCGTTCCCCCCTGACGGCAGTGTTTCTTGGCCGCCGCCACGCGCTTGCACGTGCCGCGCAGACGTTTCGCAAAGCTGCCCCCAGTGCCAAAGTGCGAACGATCGGCCGAGCGCAGGACAGTTCTTTTGCGCCGCCAACCATCACAACGAAACAGCGGCGGCAATGACGCAAAGGTGTTGGATATGCGGCCATACACTGGGATGCTGGCGCCCCGTTCGGGCGCTGAGCTCAGGGTTCCGCATCCCCGTTCCGAGGTGTTTGTTGATCTTGGCTACAGGGCATGTCCAGCTTAAACGGTGATTTTGCTGTTGTGAGTTCATGTGGGGAGAACGTCCGAATGGCTTGGAAGTGGCTGGAAGTGAAATCTGCATCACGACACGAGTGCAACAGATTGATGGCACACCAGGGCGAACTCACGAAAATTCCCCCGCCCGTCCAGGCCGAAGGGGGTCGCGACAGGAATCGAAAGGGAGGAGGGGGGCCCGCGTGGCATCGCTGCCGCCGTCGCTGATTGATAATTTTCGCACGGGGCAACCGAGAAGACGAATGCATATGTTCGACGGTAAGACCAGCGCCCCCCCCGACAGCAACATGTCTGGCCGCCGCCACGCGCTTGCGCGTGCCA